TTTTTTTTCAAAAAATTCAGGATTTCCATTTTTTTTTTTTTTTTTGGGGAGAAAATCAAATTTTCGTATAAATGAGCATAGTGCTTCTTGTCAACAGTTTATGAAAAACGAAAAATTAAAAAAACAAATAAAAAGTATATATTATTGGTGGTATGCGGGAAATCTAGACTACTGAAAGGTAGTACATTTCATTGCCTACATTGATTCCTTCCTGGTAATGTGGTAGGCTAGCAATATATTTTTTTTTTTTCTTTTTGGTTAAAATCATGTTTGTGAGTGTAACCATTTGTATGAATTATTTTAAAGGAATAAAAACCCCAAATACTGAATGTGTTTTTTGTCTTTTTTTCCTTCAGAAGACTTTTGTATGGTGATGGCAGCATTCGAAAGTGAACCTGATTTATTGAAGGAGTAGTGGAACATTTTCACCTGCGTCCATGGATGAGATAAAATAGTTAAAATTCACTGTGCAAACAATATACAATCATATATGAGGAAAAAAAGTCAGCACGACTTCACCTTATTCACTAAGCAAAGCAAAGTTATACCCCAGTAAGGCCACTTTCACACGGGCTGATCAGAAAGGGATCAGTGCACGGATCCCCTCTAGACATCGAGTCGTTTTGTTCCAAATCAAAATTCGGACACATCCGAATTTCTGAATCCCAATTTATCCAAATTTGTCCGAATTTCCGTTTCCGAATTTCGGATCCCGTCCGAATTTCGTTCAAAAAGGAAACTGAATCGGACTTTTCTGGCCAATCAGATGTCTTTTTCAGTTTGATGCATCCAAATGGGTCTGAACACGAATTTTCATTACGGCAACATGGGAGCCATATACAGTATATACATATAATACTAAAGCTGAGGATCCCAGACCCGAATGGCATTCGGGATCCGGATTTCCAAATTGCATTCGGGGACTCCGAATGCTATTCAGGTCTGGGAGCCACATACATATATTAGCTGAGGATCCCAGACCCAAATGGCATTCGGAGCTGCAATTTGGAAATCCGGATCCAGAATGCCATTCGGGTCTGGGAGATTCAGCTTTAGCATTAATATCTGTATATGGTTTTCTGTGGTAGTCGCAACGAATATTCGTAAACTCATCCGAAACTAACAAAAATTCGGATTTCGTACGAAACCCGAACTGAACTGAATTTCGGATCCAAATCCTGAAATATCCAAACCAAATTTTACCACAGCTTACATGTCTAATCCCCTCCTGATTCGAGCAGTATGGATTGGATGTCACCGCTGTGATTGTGCTTGTCAAGAAACGACCGGACCCCATGTCGAATCAGATTACCCCCGAACCGGCATGATCAGGTCCATCGAAACAGATCACTGTTCTGTATGCTATTCCAGACCTGGCTGGAGTCTGGGGTAACCAGGTGTAAACAGATGCCTGTCCATGTAGACCCTGCTGCCTATAGACTAGCATTGAGCATCCAATTGTGTCACCTCGAAAACCGACAGGCAGACCCAATTGGACCACCCATGTGAAAGCGTCCCAAATGAGGTGAAGCTCTGCTGACTTCAGTCATCCAATCATGTGCAAGCAAAAATCCAGTTTTGTTTCGTTTTTTTCCTTGACTAGAATTCTTTGGTCAAGGAAAGTGCATTGTAACTTTTTCACCTTATTTCCGAACATAAGTTAAACATTTTCTTTGCAGGTACACATGTTCTACTCCTTTAGTAAATCAACCTCGCTGTTCAGATCAGCAAGAAGTGTATTCGTTGGAGATCAGCACTTGCTCCAAATGGTCCTCCTTGAAGGATCCATTCCCCACCTGCTGCTAACTCATCTTGGTCACACTCTTCCACTTCTCCTTTCCTCTGCTATTGCCATTGGGAAACACCCATAACAGAGCATGTGACCTGCTAGGAAGCCATGCTCGGACCGAAGCAGCCAATTATCAGGCCTGAACACTGTTGTGTGAGAGAGTAAGAAGTCCTTCATTTTGTATAAGAATCACTATCCTGTTTTAAGGTTCCTGGTTCCAACAAAGGAACAGAGTAGTGGGAGATGGGTAGTAATGTTGAGTATCAGTGGGTGGGAAGTTTGCTCTTTCAAGAGAACCTGTCACTTCGTCCTGTCCATCCAAAGCTGATATTTGTTTTTAGTTGGATAACCTGAGAATTTCTTTCATTTTTTTTTAATCTCTAAGATATTTCTGGGTTCCTGGATCTGCACACCAGATGAGGCCATTATGAGGGGCTCCCACTTTCCATATTGGATTATTTTTTTATATTATAGGAAATGTAACAGAAGGAGCTGGAACACAGAGAGGTGGGTGAGAACACCCAACTCTCCTGGTTGGACAGGTACAGATTTGGAAATTATGGCAGGGAGGTCTTGCTGTTGCAGTAAGACAAAACCTAATGGAACCCATGGGACACCAGTAGAGAAGCGGTGGAGAAACTATAGAGAAAATAAAAACTGACCCATAGAATGCAGTCTGTCCGTAGCACTAACACCACAGGGTTTATTCTAAATAGTTTTATAGTTGTATTGTCTGTTTATCTTGCCAGTAAATCTGTTAGTTTTCCACTTTCTATCATGGGGTGTCAACGATGTTCATTCAGCAGTGGAATCGTACAGCAGCAATGTCACCCTTTGGACAGGGTAGTCTTAGATGGACACCTAGTGTTAAATGGACATTAAAGAAGTCTCACCTTGTAATATTTTTTTCACAGCTCAGTCACCTTACTCCCACAGTGGATGTTGCTTTTCATCCCAGGCTTCTGTGCGATGTAGAAACTGAGAAACTTTGACGGTTCACTCCTCTTCATTCTTATCCATACTCTGCATAGGGGAAGGGCTTTTGATTGACAGCTCCTAGCCCACTGCCCCTGCACTTTCCCAACACAGAACAGCTCCCCTTCCAGTTCTAGTGCCTGCACTGATTGCTGTGTGCCCCCTTTTGCATTCCTGTAAACACCAGTATCGCAAACCCCCGACCAGTACAACCGCTCACGCGTTTCACTGGTAGGCTTAATCATAGAACTTCAATTGGGAGGCTGTAATGGTCGGGGGTTTGCCCTGCTGGTGTTCACGTTTATGTACATTCTTTGTGGATTTCAATAAAGCCTGAAGTATTGGAACCCTTTGGAGTGCGGTCTGTTTGGATACTGCTATGTTTGAAGGTGAAGACGCACCTATATGACCAGTACCTGTGGAGTCCATGCAGCATGAGCCTGGCCGGGGAATCGGATCGGTGAGATCTTTCCTTTGTTTCGCATACATGGGGGATTATTACAGATTACAGCATACTAATTGGTGCGCCATAAACTACATATGTACTGTCTCTGTAGTAGGATACAAAGTGGGTATAGGATAGAAGATGGATTAATTGAAGTTTAAAGTATAACTAAAGACAAAACTCTTTTTTGTTAGTTTTGGATAATGTAAGGGACGGTTTTAACCCCCGTCAGCTTTTCTTTGTCATCTGTGTCCCATTGAGGAGATTTCCCTTCACTTCCTGTCCAATAGCCACAACAGGAAGTGAGAGGAAATCCTTCCAAAGTAAGGGAATCTCCTGGTGGTCAACAGAACTAGTGTCTCCATTTCCCATCTATTCCTGTTCTGATGACAACCCAAAATTTGGGATTTTCTTTCACTCTCAGTGATAATGGTCACCAGGACAAATAGAGAGGGTGAATCTCCCTAATGGGGATACAGACGCCAATAAAACCTGGCACGTTTTTTACTCCCTCCCCGCTCTATCCAAAACCAAAATGTTTCAGTTAAACTTTAAGGAGTTCTAGAGATCCTAGTCCTGTATAACATATTTATCAATCGTGATGTTTCCTTTATGTGCTATCAAGTACCGTGCTGGTGGTCGTTTTAGTGATTTTAATTAGGGATGCGCTGATACCGGTATTTTTGTACAGAGTACGAGTACCGATAATTTTTTTTCGGTACTCGCCGATACCAATTACCGAGTAACGGAAGTCCGATTCAGGAAGCCAGGTGGCGTGTAATAACTCGCCACCTGACTTCCTGATTAGCCGGGCAGCTTGTGAAGACTCGCCACCCGGCTTCCCAATTAACAAGAAAGTCTGTCCCCTCTTACCTTGGTATGTCCAGCCTGTCACCCGCGAGGCCTCTCCAGCCAGAACGTGGCCTTCCTCCGGTACCCAGCCGGAGCCGTCTGGCCGGCCAATCAGGAAGCCGGGCGCCGTGTAATGACGCAACGCCCTGCTTTCTGATTGGCCTGGGAGGCCGGCTCCATGCTCCCTCATTACACGGCGCCCAGCTTCCCGACCAGTCAGGAAGTCGGGCAGCGCGTCATTACACGCTGCCCGGCTTCCTGATTGGCCGGGAAGTCGGCTCCATGCTCTCTCATCACAAGTGCATCAGGAAGTACTTGTGCTAGGCATCGGAGCATTTGGGCGAGTACGAGCCCCAATTACTCGGTATCGGCACCGATATCGATACTAGTATCAGTATCGGTGCATCCCTAATTTTAATGTTGTATGTGGGTGTTGTAATACAGTTCTCTGTTATGGTATCTTTTAAAAT